CCAGGCGGCTCCCAGCCAGAAACCTTGCAAGGAGCCTGAGACAGGCTCCCTGCCTGTCTGCTGGGCTGGCTGCTCCACGTGGCTCCTCTGCTCAAGCACAGAGTGAAGGAGGTGAGGGAGGGAGGAGGCTTTGCTCGCTGTCTCTGCTTCCAAGAAAATGTATCAGCTCTTATTGACCAAAAACTGGCCAATGGAAGCTGAGGGATTTTGCTAGGGGGTGGGGAGAGCATGCAAAACCTCCCTGTCCCTCCCCAGTGTCCCAGTGTCCCAAGCAATTAGCAGACACTGTTTAAAGTGTGAGCTACTATAAGGGAGCCAATGAAATGGCCATAGGCAGGATCCAGTGACTGAGTGAGCTGGATGTGGCTTCTCAGAGCCTCTTCCCCACCCCCGGTAGACACATATGTGGATCTGGTCTGTGACTGGATTGTTATACTAGAGGGGCTGTGTCTAGACTGGCCAGTTTCTCTGGAAAATCAGCCGCTTTTCCCGGAAAACTTGCCAGCTGTATACACTGGATGACTAAAGGAGAGAAGCATAGGCTTCCCTGATATAGGACAGGTGCACAGGTTACAGCTGCCCTAACTTGCACCAGTCTTGATGGCCATTGTACTGCCAAACAATACACAAGGGCTACATCTAGACTGGCATGATTTTCTGCAATTGCTTTTAACGAAAAAGTTTTCCGTTAAAAGCATTTGCGGGAAAAGAGCGTCTAGATTGGCACGGACGCTTTTCCGGAAAAGCATTTTTCATGCCAATCTAGACGCAGCCGAGGAGTCTATAAAAAGGTGTTACCATCCCCAGAAAAAAACCCATCACCAACACACTTACACTTCAATTTCCAGAACTACAAATTGTACAATCAGCACACCAAACACTCTGCCAGTCAGTGCAGATTATAAATCAGGTTTTGTTTTATTAAAAGTCAGTCAAACTACAAGATAGTCTCCATTATTTCCAATACCAAACACACAAATGATCTGAACACAACTCTAGCTCTAGTGTAACTACAGTGAGCCCTAACCCATCCAGTTTCCAGCCCTTGGGTTGCGTTTTGCTTCCATAGCCAATGGGGTCAGTTTCATAGACTGACAAGACATGACACTTCCCGTCAGAGCTGTCAGCCTCGCTGGGCCCCTGAGCAAGGTGTAAGTGCTTGGAAGGAGAGGAGGCTCGGTGCTCCCAAAAGGGAGGGGCCTCGGGCAGAAGCACCAGCCCTCAGCACCATCTGGACCATGGCCCGCCCCACCCCACCCCATCCCCAGCCCTCACAGGTGCCCGGCGTGCTGTGCCCTGGTGGTGATTTAAAGGGCCTGGTAAAGGAGTCTCGGACCCTTTTGAATCACTGGGCCTTGGGACAATAGTCCCCTTTGACCTTCCCCCACCCTCCATCTGTGGGTCAGCTTCCCGTTGCAAATGGTGGGGAGAAGGATCTTTGGGCTCATGCTTAAAGTTTGGTGAATTCTTCGGTTCTATTCCTAGCAGTGGCAATGACTCTCTGTGTGATCTTTGCTGAGTCCCCTCCTGTCCAGCTGCCTCAGTTTGCCCCTTTTAAAGCCAGGGGAAACATTTGCCATCTCCATAAAGGTGTTAGCAATCAGTGCAAGTCAGTGGTCCCACTATTTTGTCCCATCCATGTGTGGAATAAATTTTGTTGCATTCTCCAACACATGTGGACTCACACCATCAGTAGAAACACATGCTGCCAGCTGTGGGCGCTGTGGACTTTCTGCTAATCAGTTGGCTGCCCAAGCACTCAGCTTACAGGGAAGAGCCATGCAAATCTAAAAGCAGACGTGGAAATGGCAACAAAGTAATGTGTGCTCTGAACTGTACAATAATAAAGCTGCATGTGGATCCCCGTCAACAGAAAGACAACCACAAACTTAACAAGCCAGTGAACAGGAAAAACATTATCACAAAAAACCTTAAACCAGCCCTGACATTGCCAAATGCAGGTGTAGCAAACATCCACAGGAACATGATTTTAAAAGCCAGAGCACTCACTTCGCTGCATCTGCTCCTGCTTGTTGCATCTTTGGGGCCTTCCTTCTGGGCCACCGTGCCCCAGCATTCCCTGACATCTGAGGTTCAAGGTGATCCACTCCTGCTCCAGGACACAGATACGTGGATGGCATGTGGCCTTCTTTCCTCCAGCAGCGTGTGTGTCCCCACTGTGATTACCCCGGCTCCCCTCAGTCATGTCACAATGTGCGGGGTCCTGACACAAGGAAAACCCAGTGGAATTACCTCTGCTCTCTGGCTATGGAGTGAGTCTCACTCTGTTCGAAGGGAAGCTCTTTGCATCATGGGGCCCAAACTCACACACCTGCCTATATCCCAGCA